AGCTAGCCCAGTACTCGATCTCTTGCTGTTCCATAGGGCTGCATTTGGTGACAACGACCCGCCAATGCACCCGTGCGAAGTGAATATGGTCCATGGTGGCCTCCCATATCTGCTGTATGATCTCGGTTATAGACCTGGTGAGCGGCCTGTCTCTCCGACCGAGACAATATGATGTGGTCATCTGTCTCGTTCCTCGATAATCCGTCCAGGCGGCAGTAATCCATCGCTCGTCCACGCTTTGCGCGTAAGCAACGTGCATACATGAGTTCTCCTGGAGCAAATTCGGGGACGGGTTTGTGTTGAGCTTGAAGTCGATCGTTCGCAGAACCTGTGGCTCTAGAACGATGGCAGGCGCTGGCATAGGCCCACCAAAGAGCGTGCAGCGATCGTATGTTTCAAGACACAGCTTCATGTAATCGACAGGAGACATCACCGTCACAGTTGTGTCCGACGCAATGCAATCAAGCGGAACCAGCTGAAGGACCAGCTCACTCGTGACCGGCTTCCTGTTGTCTGCCATACACCGCTTGTAGCGCTCGTAGAGATCGTGGAAGGCGGCGCATGTTTCCACGACCGAACTTGGCCTATCATCTGGGTAGACAAAGAAGACAACGCAGTTCTTTTCCGTCATCTGGACACTCGTTAGTGCATCTGCGAGGCAGCTCATGGGCCCATCAAACGGCGACACAGCCCATTCATCACGACCAGCTGGTTGTTGGGTGGCGAAGTATGATAGAAGCCCATCCTCGAGATCCAGGACAGTAGGGAGGACATCAAACGTCCCCAACTTCAGGGATTCGTAAACACTGCGTATCCGCTGCAAAAAGGCAGAAGCGCTATCCCGTAAGCCGTCAACGTTAGGGAACACGCAAACTGATACAATATCCTTGGCGCCTTTTGCCGGACTAAGGCCTAAACTTTCCCAGAAGCTGATGGCTGTTGGCAGCATCGAGAAGGGAGTTTCATAGCGGCGGATTTCTATATGGGGTGTTGGTATCGGGTAGATGTTTCGAGTTGACATTTCTGAACCCATCGGCTTAGCTTGTATACGTTGTGGCTGCGCCAGTGCTACCAACGGCACATCTTGTACATCTGCGTATGGCTTGAGCGAACACTCAACCGCATCGGCTAGTGACCGTGGCAGGGCCTTTCGTAGCCCTTGCATGGAGTACCGCACTGCTTTGGCCAACGTTCTGCGCACATCCTGGGGCTTCCGGCTCAAGATTTTGGGAGCGATCTGTAGCGAACCGGTCGCCACTTGCTCGGTAAGGATTTGAGCAATGGTAATGAAATCCATATCAGAACAAGAAACCTGGAGCCGTGCTGGCTCTGGATCTGCAAAATATTTGGCGATTGAAAACTCGGGCACCTCGGGGTGAGATAACCGAACCAAATCAATCGACCCATATGCAGGTGTATCTGCCACAGCACTTTCGAGGTCTTTGAAAGAAGCAGCAGTTGAGAGGACATCGTCATCCAGACGTCGCCTCGATATTCCTGACTTGGCGAGAGAGGGTGCGTAGTTACTCTCGTCGCTCAAATCGTCTGGATCAGACGCCCAACTAGAGTCATCCGTCTCTGACGCAACTTCGTCGCGGCCTGTCAAGCTACCGCCAATGCCGTGAGCTATCCTCGCTAGAAGAGCCCCAAAGTTACTTGAAGGTTCCTTGGGAGGTTTTTCGACTCTCGTTAATAGAGGATTTTGCAGTTCTAATCGCGTTTTTTGCATTTCTTGTACGGCCGGAATCATGTAATTGAAGGGGCCGTTCGCGGTGTACTTTTTGTTGACCAGGGATAGTGAAGGGTCGAAATCAACCTTGTCGAATTCGCTCTTTCGTCGCTGAGTAACTGCTGTCGTAGGAGATCGTGGTTTCGGAGGCGACCGAAGCAAGGCCTTGATTCGCTTGTACACAGTCTCTCGGTTAAAGGGGCTGTGCTGTCTTTTGATCCCTATCGTGGAATTACGATTGAAGCTCTCTTGATTTGCTTGTTGTCGACTTCCTTCAGCGAGGGTACTGCGTGCGTGTTTAAGCTCGGGTTTGGTGAATTCTGGCAGCGCTGGCTGCGGAACCGTCTTGCATTCTTCCACTCTATTGTTAGTCTGGGGAGCTGAGTTAGTTGGTTGGCCCGTATCAGCGGACAAATCCGTTGTCGTTCCCAGCCCTGATATTGCACTGAAATTCATCTCGACACCCTCGGGTTGTTCGTTGAGTTGTTCGTCGAAAAAGTTGAAATCAGCGTCGGTAAGCTCGTTGCCTTCGAACATGTCTTCCCCGAGATCGCCGAACATATTGTCACCCTCCAACAGATTCCCAGCCTGCTGCTCCCGCTTGTTGTCACCGCCATCCCAGCCATTGCCAAAGTTCTCCGTGTGGGGGGCGTTGTTCTTCATCACAGTATCTATGCCAGCCATCGCATTATGCTGGGGCTGATTTGCAGGACTGGCACCGAAGCCTGTCTCGGCAGAGGCAGCCATGCCTAATGGTTGAATTCCATCCGGAGGTGTCGGATACATTGCACTGGAAGCGGCTATGGCCCCACCGTTGCTCGGCCGGCGCAGCGCCATAGGCGACGCAGCACTAATCTGGTTGTTCTTTGAATCAGCGTCAGCAATACTGCGAGACACGGCTGCTAGCGCCTCCCTCTCGTCTCTTTCCTTCTTTCGCTTTGCGATCGTCTCTTCGAGCTCAGGAAATCCTTGGCACCATTGCCTCGCGTCATCTACCGGATCTAGCGATTCGGATGCGCTCGCCACCAGTGCCTTGGATGAACGGCTATCAGCGCCAGCATCGATCCTTGGTTTTCTAAAGCAAAGCACCGATGGCCAAGCCGCGATCTGAGGTGGGTTCGTCAAAGGAGGTCTCTTGGCGTCTTGCCTGTGTTCGTATGGTTTTCGCTGCAGGAAGTGAACATTGAACCAGGAGCAGCCATTGATCAGCGAAGGTGATATACCACGCATTTGGAGTACCTTGCAACACGTTGCCTTCCATTGTGAGAGCCTATCGGTTGGATCCGGCCTTAGACGACTGATTTGGGTGTCTGGCGAATGGCCATAGCCGCTATCAAGTCCATACATGTCCCCATCCACTGGATTCAGCATGAAACCGAATGCTCCAAGAGGAGCAGCGAGCACCACTGGATTTGATGGGAGCATGTTTGACCGCGCCAGCTCCGCAAAAGATGCCAATCCCTCAAGCAAAGAGACGGAAAGAGAAATGACGAGTGTCCCGGTCGATGTAAGATAGACGCGAAAAGTACCGAGGGCACAGGTTTGCGGTTTCGGGCCTAGGATGAACTCATCCAAGTAGTATGCTTGAGAGGGGAGCAATATCGACCTATGGTCCAGCGGAATGGCTCCTATCGTGTGGCACAACGAAGACGACAGAGATGCCAGGGTCGCAGTGATGAAGAAGTCGTATTTTTCCTTTAATGGTACATGGGCGAAGCGATCCGAGTCCGAAAGTATGTGCGACGCGCCCTTGTTATCCATTACTGGAGCGCCGGGCATGGCACCTGCTGCGGTAGGAAAGGCAGAGGCCTGCGGATTCCGGAATGCAGCGTCAACAGCAGAACCGGCAGAGGACGAGCTGTTTGGAGTGTTGAGAGAGTTTGTCCCAAGCTGTCTGCTTCTGAACAAGCTACTGGGTTCAAAGCCGCCTTCTCCAGACAAGCCTAACGAGTAACCGCAAACCTCCATCTTGGCGGTGAGCCCTCGCTCCTCGGGTCCCAACATGCAGCCATCCTTGGTTGTCAAGTAAAAGACCCATATACATCGCCGGGTAGTATCGACGTGGACGAGGTGGCCATCACGGCGCAAGGCATCCTCGACGACTTGTGGCTGGAAGGTGTAAGAGGCTGTGTTGGCGGCAACGGGTTCGTAAACGCGAAAAGAAATGGCGGAAAGATTATTCTGCAGGAGAGACGCGTGAGTTAGGGGGGGAGTGGGAGGCGGTGGTCCGAGGACAGGACAGGCCAGCATACAATTAGCAAGGTATTGGTATCATAGTCGCCAGTGTCCATATCTGAAATGAGATGCCTTTGGAGGCGGAGTCGCAAAAGTCGTAGTGACCATGCACCGGGCGCGAAGACGTGTTAGCGGAGTGGGATGAGGGCGCATGTAGGCCGGCGACGGCGGCCTGAGGGACGGTGTGATGGCGTGTTGGGATGAAAGTCTATTGTGGCGACGCTCAGAAGTGGAAGCCGAAGTTCAAGCAGCATGGATGATGGACTCGGTAGTTGTCTTGAGCTGTACGTCGTTGGGATGCTGGACTCCATGGCAGCAAGGCCCCTGTCCAAACAGCGCGAACCGTCGCGGATCACCGACCATGCGCCCACGAGGTCATTTGCGGGTTCGGGAGATGGGACGGAGTGAGGAGCTGCAAGGCGGGGGGATGCGATGGGATGACGGGATGCGATATTACTGTAGGTTAGTGTCGTGGGACTGAAGGATGGTGGACTTCGGTTCAGGTAGGTAGTTGGCGGTCCGGTGGTAACGAATACGGTGACGGCGGGCAGTAATCGTGACTTCACAGCCGCCATCGAGGTTGCCGACTCGAATCAATGGAATGGATTCATTCGGTCCAGTAGGTAACGAAAGTTGCAGTCAGTTGGGTTCCAGTTCGGCGGGCAGGGCATCCCGCCGATGCGACAGGCGAACAGCCACGCAGTTACCTAGGTAGGCTGCTAGGTTCGGATCAGCGACGGGGGAGGACCCACACTAGAGGTACATATCCACAGCTGCCCGGGCAGTAGCCAGTGTACACTAAAGTAACCCACCGAAAAGGACCCTGCTGCCAAGCACGATCCATGCCTGCCACCTCACCTACTGTAGTGCAATGACCTGCTAACGCTCGCCTACCAGAACCTAAAGGTCCACCACGGGCAGTCCTCCCGTCCCGCTTCCTCTTCAAGCCGCCTTATCGCCCTACCTTTGCTTTATCGCCGGTGGCTTTCCGCCTTCCTCATTTGGCGACTATGGCACTTCTCTGGACTTTTTGCAGATTTTCTGCCGCAAAAAGTTCAGATACGGGTTAGGGTTGTTCTCCAAAACTTCCCATCCAGCAGATAGTAGTTGAAGCTTTCTCTGGTTTCTCAACATCTTCCATCCTTGCGCCATCCCTCATCACCAACAAAACCACACATCATGAAATTGACCAATCCCGGCGCGGTGCCAGTGTACGTCCATTTGCCATTGAAAAGAGAGATCCGCTGTGAAATGCTAACCATTATCGCAGATACACCGTATCTGGGCCGTCGACTGCGAGACCCCTTCCAGAATGGCTTGCCCGCCGTAGAAAGAGATCGGCCAAGTACGAGCCCGAAGAACTCAACAACTTCGAGCTCCTCCAGAACTTCGACTTCGAGGAGGCCAGCAACTGCGTCCGTGTCAGTGAAGATGGCAACTGGATCATGAGTTCCGGTACCTACAAGCCCCAGTTCCACGTCCACAACACACAGGAACTGTCGCTGTCTTTCGCTCGCCACACGAAATCCGAAAACACCACCTTCATTATGCTCAGCCAAGATTACACCAAGAGCGTACACCTCCAATCCGACCGTTCGATTGAATTTCATACCCCCATGGGATGTCACTACGAAGTCAGACTCCCGCGCTTCGGCAGAGACCTTGCATATCTTCGCCAAAGCACAGAAGTGCTCATTCCCTCTGTCGGTCTGAGTGCGGATGGCTCTGGTATGGGCGAGGTTTTTCGCCTCGATCTGGAGCGCGGCCAGTTCTTGAGGCCATGGCAGGTGGATGTGGGTGAAGATGAGCCCGGTGCTGGTCTTCAGGGAAGCATCAACGTCGGAGCTGTTAATGTTGCGGCCGTCGCCGAGTCGACACACGGTCTTTGCGCCTTCGGAACGACTGTCGGCACAGTCGAGTTCTACGATCCCCGTAGCAGGAATCGTGTTGCGGTATTGGGCGGCCAAGAGGGCGAAATTACTGCCTTGGATTACAGCAGAGACGGTCTCTCTCTTGCGCTCGGAACAGGCACGGGTATTGTTCAAGTTTTCGATCTGAGAAACCCTCGCCCGCTTATGCGGAAGGATCAGGGCATGGGTCTTCCCATCAAGAACATCATCCACTTGACGACTCCTACCGAGGAAAAGAAGCTTCTCACGGCCGATAAGAGAATCATCAAGCTCTGGGACGAACAGAGTGGCGACCTCTGGACCTCAATCGAGCCGACCGTTGACATTAACCATGTGGCGCATGTCCCCGATTCCGGCATGCTACTGACTGCAAACGAGGGCAAGCAGATGCACAGTTTCTTTATTCCCAACCTTGGCCTGGCTCCCAGGTGGTGCCATTTCCTCGACAACATGGTCCACGAAATGGAGAACGAGAAGCGTGTCGACACATACGACAACTACAAGTTCCTTACGATACCCGAACTCAAGCAGCTCAGCTTGGCTCACTTGGTTGGCAAGACCAACCTGTTGCGTCCTTATATGCACGGTTACTTTGTACATTCCAAATTGTACGACCAGGCTCGTCTCATTGCCAATCCGTATGTCTGGGAAGAGGAGCGGGCCAAGCGCGTCAAGGAGAAGGTTGAGAAGGCTCGCGAGAGCCGTATCAGAGGTGTCAAGAAGGTCAAGGTCAATCAGAAGCTGGTTGACAAGATTGTTGATCGTTCCGACAAGAAGAAGATCGCCGCTGGTGTCTTGGGCGATTCTCGTTTCGGTAAGCTGTTCGAGGATGAGGAGTTCAAGGTCGATGAGACGTCTAGGGAGTTCAGAGCCCTCAACCCCAGCACCCAGGTTGGCGGACAAGATGTCGCAGTACAGCATGTCAAGGACGACTCTTCAGTCACCAGCAACAGTGACGATGAGAGCGATCCGGAAAGCGAGGTCGAAAGCAAGAAAAAGAAGAGCAAGAAGAGCAAGGATGACGTGGTCATGCAGGTCTCGTCGTCCAAAATTGCGGGCGGCAAGGCGAAGGATACGGCATTCGGCCAAAGAGCTCCAAGGACTGGGCGCGTCACCAAGGCCCGAACGGACGTGGTCGGAGAGCAGAAGATTACGTTCGTGCCCGAGTCCAAGAAGAAGAAGCAGGCTGAACCCGAGGCTGCACCAACACGGAAGAGACATGATGGGAGGAGAAGTGCAAGCACGAACACCTTTAGACGACTGTAAAACGCCAGAAGCTTATCCGTCCAACCCTATATACTATACATGTGAAAAAGTCATGGTATCTTTCATGTCAACTCCCCCAGGCCGTGGTGAACCGGCTAAGAACATGATCACCGTCCACGGCACACATTTCTTTCCGAATACGAGTCGCAAAGCAATAGGCTCGCGCGACCAGCGATACCCAAAATATACCCCAAGCTTGCCATTTTCGTCATCAAATGGTTCATTATGTCTCAACTCGTGCTGCCTGATCTTCTCTTGCGCCACACCGGCTCACTTCCGACTGAAGTTGATGCGTGTTTTTCCTGACTTCTCCGGCTTCCCCATGCCCTTTTCCAAATCCAGGTGCTCGGGCTTGATGCGCGGGGTTGGTGGCACATCATCGATCCTTACACGGCCTTTATGTTGGGATCTGGTTGATCGGAAAGATCCCTTGACCGATCTGGGGAACTCGCTGCGTCGTGGGGTCAAAGCCGTGACGACCCTCTTTGCCGACTTTCGAATGGTCTCCCTGACCTTCCACTCATTTTTCTTTGCCAGGAAGAAGAGAACTGCGCTACCGACTGTTGGAGGGAGGGTCAATATCATGTCTGGTCAGTGCAGTATTGCTGGTGGGCGAGAAAGACTTACCACCGAAGATTGTGACGACACAAACAACCACAATGATGGCGATCAGACCACCTTGAGATAGCCCGATGTCGTTTGATGATGTCCCGGCTGCACCGGCGATACTTCCACTGTCTCCCATGTCTGGACTAGCACCGACGCTTCCTGGGTTCGCATCCGGCTCGTAATTGGCGTTTGACGACATGACTGCAGTTGCTGGGTGTTCCTCTCCCTTTATATAACTGCCACTGCTGTCCCTTGTTCCAAACCAGGCCCGGCCTCGTAGTGATGTGATTATGAGATGTCGGTCTGATGTCGAAAAGGTCAATATAAACTGAGGTGAGACCACTTTTTTTTCCTCTATTTTCAGTTGCGTTGCACGGCAAGCAATGAAAAGACGAGACCGATAAGAATGCGACGCGCGACTGTCAAAGTCGGGTGATGAATGGTATGACAGTGGGAAGAGGAAAAGTGAATAAAAAAAAAATGAAACGCAATCAGGAAGGGGGAGGACCAGAAAGGGAAAAAAAAAAAAAAAGGCAGGCGTTTGGGAGGCAATAGAGGTGGTTGTAGGTGTAGGTAGGTAGGTGGATATGTAATTTGTATAAACGCCGGCGCTGCTTCATGTACTCGCGGCGGCTACTCCTACTTCCAAGAGAGGTATATGTGCAATGTTAATGGTCGATACCGTGATTCGACAGTGAGCGAGCGTACTTAATGGAGTAGACTTAGGCCCTCTTCTTCTTCCTCGAGTGGTTGCCTCTCCAGAGGAGCTACCTTAGTGTACGCTTAAAAGGACCCAATGCCCCCGCTCCCTTCTCCCCGCTAGGTAAGGTACTGTGATCTGACGATGCCCAATCTTTCAATGCGGACGAGATCTTCACCTGTCGTTATGTGACGCTGAGGATTCGCCTGCGTTCACTGTGCCTGGGCGTGCCTGGTTGAACCTGGTCAATGGTCATGCTGTCTCACTCGAACATCACCATCAACGAGTCGCCGACCGTTGCATTCGGCACTTTGTCTTTCCATTGCTACATTCAAGAACGGTTTCTCGCCTTCCCGACTACATACCTAGGTGATCATCCAGCGACCAGCGGCCTGTCTTGATATTACTTGACCTCACTTAGGTATCCGTTCTCGTTGCGCCTTACCGCCGCCATCGCTTCCACTGTCTCATGTGTACAGGCAATTTCATTCAACAACAACGTCCAATGACGAGGAGAAAACACAGAAAAGAGGTCAGGTCCAGATAGTACCAGCACATAAAACTCCATGGCCCCTGTCCGCCCAAACAATTCCGCCTCCACACTAGCGCCGTCCACTCCCAGCCCATCACTGTGATCCTTTCCCCCTGACGGCCCTGGAACAATCCAGGTACGCTAGCATATCCAGGTTCTGATTGGCCAAAAACCCTCAAAGACTCACAACTCCCGGCGCTTGCAGACGGCCATGGTTAACCAATCGGACAAGGGCTTCGGTTTAATTGCCGCTGTACTACTCGTAGTGTCCAACGACGTCCGGAGTGTCCAGGGGTGTGAGTGTGACATGGTGAACATGGGTTTTTTTTTTTTTTTTTTTTTTTTTTTTTTTTTTTTTTCTTCCACCGACAAGTGAACATGATACATACTATGATCCTGTCTCCTTTCTACTTTTGTGTGTGTCTATGTGTATGTAAATGAAGTTGGTTGATAAACACCATGTGGGCTTGGTCACTGTGACTGTGATGGTCACTTTCACTTTCTTTTTCGTTTCTCTTCTATTGCGCTACTGACCTATCTTTACCAGACAAACGGACGGGCCATTCGAGAGTGCGAAGGTATATAAGGTGATGTTATGCTTCTGTTCTGTCCCGCATCAACTGTGATGCCCCCCGAATAATAATAGTAATTAATACTAGTAAGTGTAACACACATTATTCGTTGCAAGGTGTCATATAGATAGCTTAACTCTCATATACCTTATTCGAATAGCTTCCTCAGTAAGATGGGGTATCATCTTCGCTCTCCTCGGTATCCCTCTTTCTACCTATCAGTAATTTGAGGATAGGTTAATGATTGCAGCCCTGGCGGGTTGTCTTTTGTTGCGTTGTCTTTTCCCCAAAAATCATCGACACTTTGCCAATGAGGTTAGCATGCTATTTTACTCTTCTTTCCTCCAGCTTGGGACAATCAGGCTCACGAGAATCCAGCTCCTCGATCGTAGTCTCAGTACCTCCTCGATAGTATCAAGCCATTCCAATCAATCCTCCATATTGACGTTGCGTCTCGAGAAGACCCTAGAATGACTGAAGCACTAATGTTGTCAACGTGGGGAATTCATCCAAAAAAAAAAAAAAAAAAAAAAAAAAAAAAAAAAAAAAAAAAAAAAAAAAAGTGTCACTTAGCGCCGACCCGAGCAGCAGCCACAAGCGTACCCGGATATGAAACCAAAGCCTCAGCAATATTGAGCTTGTGATGTAGCCCATGAGTCGAGCCATTAGTGTTGCCAACTCATGCTTATCTCTGTGAAAGACGCGCAAAGAACAAGAAAGCGACCTAGATACCAATTCGAAGTGAACCCTCTCGTCTCCTAGTAACCTAAGCTGCCCACGCCACAAGCTGATCTCCATAGGGACTCCACACCAAAGCAAGATGCCACCTCTGCTCTTAGCAGTGATGCCTTGAGAAAGCAACCATTTGTGAATGAGTGCTGTTGTCGAGGTGCTTCAAAAACTGAGCGAACTGGTCGAAACAGCACCTCGGTGCTTTCGCTTCATCGCCTACCCTCTCGATAAGCTAATAGTACAAACGGACCGGTCTGTAATCCGTGCTTTGCAGAACATAATGCTAATGCTCATAGAAAGGCCTTCTCCCCTTATGAATTCGTTGTTATCTTCATCGACACAATACTCCTCCAAAATCAACTTTTTCCCCTTCACGTGCCAACCCCAAAGAAAACCCCCTGTTTACACCCTCTCACTAACCCAAATGGCACCTCTGCACCCCGCCCTAATCACCCCCGTCAACAGCCAGTGCGGCTCCGCCTTCTGCGCATCATGTTCAACCGCATGATCCAGGTGCTCCAGCTCCTCGTCCCGTATCCTCCTCAACGTGTTGATCAGATGCCTGAACTCTGCGCCAACCTCATACCCCTCAGCCTCCCACTCGCTTACCATCTCCAACAGCTTACGGATCTGCGCATTATAATGGCCGCCAATCTCCGTCTCCACCGCCTCGGTGCACGCCATGGCTGCCTCCTTGCCCAGCATGGCGGTGCCCCAGCCTAAACCCGTGGCCATGACGGACCAGAGCGGGTACAGTGCCGTGGGCCGTACGCGGTGCCGGTAGATCAGGTCGTTGAAGGTGCGCAGATGCGCCGCCTCTTGGTCGTACATGTGCTTCATGAGCGGGCGCAGCGAGGGGTCCCGGGATACGAGAGGCGGGGTCTGCCCCGTGTAGATGAGGGTGGCGGCGAGCTCGCCGGCCTGGTTTACGCGGAGGGCGGACGACAGGAAGGCGCGCTGCTCGGCAGTGAGTGGTTTTTTACCCTTGGAAGAACTTGTCGACGACCTAGAGTTTGGTGGTGGTGGTGCTGGGTTGGTCTCGGGGGTTGTGGAGGGGCTGTGGACATGCGAGGAGCTGGTATCAGGCGAGGAAAAGAAGCGCGCGGCGCATTGCCGGACCTGTCTGGTGGCCGCGAGGGCTGGCCTGGTTGCTGGACGAAGCATTATGGGCTGTGACGGTCTTTTCGGTCTTGCGTGTTGGAGGAAGACTTGGAACGAGTTGGTAAAATCTGATGTTGCACGGACCGGAGGCGGTTGATGCGACGGAGTACAGTAAGCTCGGGGGAGATGCGCCGAGGCCGAGTGAAAGACGGGACCTCGAAAGTCGGCCCACTTACAAAATCACGGCGACGGGCGGGACGGGACCTCGAAGCTCCATCGCTGAGTGCTCCACAGGGCTGCCTGCACACGCGATGACGTTGGTCGTCGGCCAAGCCAAGGGTCAAAAGGACGACGGGACTCGATTCAAGTGGGCTTTTGCCGGGCCGGCAACGGGCCTGATCTAACCTTTGGGCGGTGTGGAACTCTTGGGCGCCTTGACCACCACCACCCATTAACTCACGCCAAGCACTGCCCCTGGACGTTGAAGTTGTCCGTCAGGTCGCGCACAAGCGGGTGGAGTTCCAGGTCGCGCCGCCCAAGTTCCATAAAGTACTTACCTACCTTTCCATCAGCCTAGACCAGACCCCATTGAATTTCTATAGATAACTGCTGGACAATAGGAGTTCACCTCCCTTAGGTTCTATACTAACCTTTCTCTCATCCCGCTTTGGACTTTCTTGTCGCCTCACTCATTCATCGCTCCCGTCGCCGCCTCAACACCACCCGATTGCATAACGACTTTTTGATTTTGGCGCATTGTCAATCCACAATTGGGAGAACATTGTTGGTTCCGAACATATCCACCAACAACAGTTTGGAAGAACCAGTTCGGCCCTTCACTCGACGTTTCTCGGCATCGCGTTCACCATCTGCACCCGGCGGTTTTCCATCGAACCCTGCTTTGCGCAGGAGCCATTGCATAACCCTAGCGTTTACAGGCACACAGAAGCAGCTTTATAAGAACCGACAGCCCGCGACAGACAAGGGACCATGTCAGATATCGACGACGAGTTGCTCGCCCTTGCAGGCGGTGACGCCTCCGATGACAGCGGAGATGAGGCCATGGACATGAGCAGGGACGATTCCCGCTCCCCGTCACCAGAGCCGAGGAAGAAGGATACGTCTACCAGGGGAGCGGCCAAGAAGTCAGTGGGAAGGAAACGTGCCAGAAGCGATGACGAGTCGGAGGACGAGGGCCAGGCGTGAGTGCTTGTCTTTCTTTTCCTTCACCCAGCTCTCAGGTGGCCCTAGGGCTGCCATTCTACATGTCACCCATGCGCCACATGGACCTCAGCCTACCGCTCGCCTTTATCAACCCCTTCTCCTCCTCCTCTTGCCTCCTTCCCCTCTTAATTCTGTCAATCACCCCGCCCACCATGCTGCCCAAGATGATGCTCAAGGCTAAACAACTTCTGTTCGGCAGCTCTCCGCCGGGATCCCCGGACTCCCAAGCTTCTGCCCCCATGGACGAATCAGACTCAGACTCAGATGCCTCGCCGGCGAGGCGTAGTGTTGACGATGAGGTGAACCAGTACCCTGTCGACGGTCTCTTCCGCGACTACGAAGAGAAGGAGCAGATCATGAGCATGCGTGAAATCGAGAGGGAACAGATTCTGGCCGAGCGTCGAGAGGAGAATGAACGTATCCGCCAGAACCGCATGCTTCGCCAGCTGAAGGTCAACCAAGAGAAGAAGCGCAAGGCAAGCCTAGCCGAGCTCGATGATTCGTCTCGCAAGACATCACGGGCTCGCACCAAGGCCGACGACAAGATGGATTCTCTCCGGCGGGCCCGGGAGGAACGCTCCAACCGCAAGGAGCAGCGGGAGCGGGAAAATGACCGTCGTAAGCGTTCGCCTTCGTACCGACGCAGCCCCGGTCGGGGTGATGATAGCGACGTCGACTGGGATGGCCCGAGCAACAAGAAGCACAGGTCTCGTTCGCCAGAGAGCAGAGAAAGCCCGCCTGCCGAGCTTCGGGACTTTGAGCGTGTTCGTGTTGGCCGCAGTCGCTTTGCCGAGGTTGCTTTCTACCCCGGCTTTGATGAAGCACTCACAGGATGCTTTGTTCGCCTGAACATTGGTCCCGATCCCGACACTCGCCAGGATGTCTACCGTATGGCTCTCATTAAGGGTAAGATCATTCCCGTTAGACCCTTGTTAAGCTAAGATGTTGTTTAACGTTCGGAATGCAGGTTTCACCACCGGTAAGGCATATGCCTTGGAAGATCATCAGGGTCACCAAATGGTCGTCGATATGTATGTCAAGGCTGCCCACGGTAAAGCCGTCAGGGAGTGGCCTTTGATCACATGTTCCGATCGAAAGTTTACAGAGGTATGCGTGCCTGTTCTCTCTTCACTTGTCATCATCTCTAATTAGACCCTCAACAGGCCGAGTACAACCGTTACAAACAAGTCTGTCTTGCCGAGGGTGTCCCCTTCCCAGACAAACAGACCCTTGTCGACAAGATCAATGACATCAACCGCCTCGTCCAGCGTACGTGGACCGAGCAGGAGCTCTCGGACAAGCTCAAGCGTCAGAACGCCCTGCAGGCCAAATTTTCTGGTGCCCAACGCGAATACCTCAAGAAGCAGCTCGACATCGCTCGCCAGGCCAACGACGAGGCCGCCATCACCCGTTACCAGGAGCGTCTCGAGAAACTCGAGGTGCCCCGCCTTGCCTTCCGTACCTCCCTCACCAAGAAAGACGGCAAGAAGGAGCTAACCCAGCAGGAGAAGCTGGCGCTCAAAAACATGGAGAACCGCCGGCGCAATGCCGAAGAGGTCCGCAAGGCTCAGCTTCGCGAGCGCGCCAAGGCTCGTCAAATCGAGAGGAAGATTGAGCGTGGCGAGGCCGTGCAGGAGGACATGAGCCGCCGTCTCATCACCAGGCCCAAGTTCGTGCACGACTCGTCTGAGAAGGCCACGCCTAGTCCGTCCAAGGCGGGAACCCCCGCGCCGGACACGCCGTCAAAGAGCGAGTCCAAGAACAGCAACGGAGTATTGCCGCATATTGCAAAGTTGCAGGAGCAGCACAGGCTGCAACAGAAGAAGAACGGCTTGCCGGTCATTTCGGCGCCCCTGATGGACGATGAGATTATTGGTGCCATGGATCTGGGCATTGATATTGAGCTTTGAGGGCAAGATCTGGGATGGTTACTTGGGGGCTCTAAGTCGATAGATAGTTCCATAAGCTTTTTGGGTCGTCTTGGCTCGGCTTTCATTTGCTTGGCTGTTATGAGCAAAAGGTTGGTTGGTCAGGCTGAAACAAAGCGCAGAAGTAAACCTTAGCCTAAAGCTACATTGGTTACGGCAAAACGATGAATAAAAGCTTTGAGAATACCTGCGTGCCTACTTGCATATACCAGCTGTGGATTCAAAGAGGTAAAGAGATGTATAGCCAAGAAAAAGTCCGTGTCCTATCAGACAAATAACTAACTAGGTATATATAACAAAGAAGGTAAAATGGACAAAAAACAAAAATAAACTGCCTAGGTACCAAGTATTCTGCATGCTATGATTAAAGGACATACCTCTACATACTGCCGGCGTTTGCTCGTCCCGAAAGCTTGATAATGATGATAGTAATAAATGGCTGACGAGGAAGAATGACTCGAGAAAAGCAAGAGGTTGCCACCGAATGCTAATATGTATGTAACCCGCCAATCCAACAACGCCTTGCCATGAATACTTGAATGTTACTACATATAATGAGTCTTTATCTTCCGCCGCTCCGATTTCATGTTGTTTGCGAAGATGGGTAAAGCAAGGGTGAGATATGGCCGTAGGGAAAAGGTGGGCGAAGGGGGTAGAGCAAGGTATGTGAAGCCCACAACCGTGGAACAACGCAGCAGACAAGCATATTTAGTTACTAGAGAAACACTGTGGTTAGCGCCCATCCTAACTGCACTTATACAAGTCGTTTTCGAAGCCAAAAAAAAAAAAAAAAAAAAAAAAAAAAACAAAGAGAAAAAAAAAAAAAAAAAGAAAAAAAACTTACTAAATCTGCAACGGCGCCACTTGATCAACCTGGAACAACCAATTCCCGTTGTTCTCCTCCGTGACCAGCCAGTCGTAGGGAAACTGGACCAGCGTTCCCTGGGTCAACCTGAGCGTCTCCTCGGCCTCTGCCGGGTTTAGAGTCTGAGCGTCAAATGGATTATACCCGCGTTTACTACGGCCAGTGTTCGCCCTACGACGCTGCTGCCTGGTGGATGCGGCTGGTTTGACACTCGCACCATTAGTGCCCGTGGCGGATGCGGTTGCTGTGTTGTCGGAGGATACTGCGGCGCCGTTGCCGTTGGCGATGATGGGGGTTGCGTTACTGTTGTCGGCCATGGTGGTGGTGGAGCCGCCGCTGGCTGAGGTTGGGGGAGGGTTAGGATCTTGATTGTTGGAGAAGGTGGCGTGTCGCTCCTTGTTGTTGGTGATGCTGGCGCTCAGGAAGTCTCCAGACGCCCTAATATCGTCGTGGTTCGAATCAGCGCCGTTTTTGGGTGTTGCTGTGGGTGGGCGTTCGCCGGGGTTCTGCGACGCCGTCAACATCGCACCCTTCTCAGCATCGAGTGGGAAGGTCTGAGCCTTGCGCGTGTGGTCCTTCGTGGCCCCCTTCTCGTCCAACGTAGTAGTTGAGCCTGTGCGTTCCCGAGCTCCCTTGTCACCACCGCCACTGAGCTTGGAGACAGGAGTGACCAGCTTCTCCGTTAAGCTCTTGGTGAGCTGAGCTGGGCCCGGTGCGCTGATACCGGCTCCAGCACTGGTTTGCGCATGCTCAACAGTCACTCCGTTCTTCTCATTGACTTCCTCACTTGCCTTGCCACCTTCAAACTGCTTCTTGAACTCCCGCTCGTTAGCCTTGAACTCCTTGTACTCGGCCCAGTTCGTTACTGCAGAATCGGGCATGACATGGAAGACGCGGCGATAGATCTTGGTGTTGTTCTCAGCAACACGAGACCAAACATCCTCGTAGAAACTTGGATTAAGAGGATCACGCATGCAGTCTTTGTCAATGTTGGCCAGCTCAATGTTCATGGCGATCTGGCTGTGAGACAGTGTCCCGTTTGCTGTAATCTGAACAGGCGGTCCGCCAATATCAGTATCGTCAACAACAGGCAGGACAGGCAACTGATTGGCTCTGGGAAGACCAAGCTGCTCCGTAGTCCGTCTGTTAAACGGTGGCATTGGCGGCATGTGCTCATTGCCGATGCTTTCAGACAGAGACGCAGCATCATGAGGCCGGGTGCGAAGCTCATGAGACTCATGCGGGCTGTCCAGAGTACCCTTGCCCTCCGCAGAGATGTCGTGAACCAGCACTTCACGGCCATTCACCACGACAGAGTCTCTGCCCTCATCAATACCTTGCATTTGAGCAAGCTTCCAATGATCAGGACCCAATCCTTCCACATCCCTCCTGTGCCTTTCACCGGCATGCACATGCTCCTGGTCTTCTCTGCCGGCAACGGATTTGCCCTTAGAGTCTGGCCTTGGGAGTTCCTGCATTTCAACGTCATGATTGAAACTATGCGCTCTATGACGAGGGAGTTGCGGCGGCGGCGGCGTGCTAGGTAGAATATGAGACGACATGTGAGATGACCTCCGTCTCCTGGACGAGCTTTCTGGGACCATGGAATCTTCCGAGTCGTCAGTGAAGTCGCGATGTTCCAAGTTCGGGTGCTCCATGTGGTGTTCCGTGTGTTGTTCCATCTCAGCTCTTGCCTCGGCCTCGTCAAGCTCTGCTTGACGTTCTTCCTCTTGGATCTCATCGACATCCAAGCCCAAGTGTTCCCTCATCAGTCGGAGACGCAGGGTGTGAGCAAAACGACCAACCTGGTAAGGCTTTCCACCCATGGTAGACCAGATCATGTCAGTATCACGAACAACAGCCGCGCATTCCGAATCACGATTGCCAAGCATAGACCGCTCATTGATATTGGCTGATCCGATCAAGGCAATACGGTCATCGACAATGATACACTTGGCGTGGATATAGAGTTGTTCGGTCGTCAGAGAGTTGTTCTTGAGTTTACCCCATTGACGCAGACTGAAGAACTGGATGTAGTCCTCCGGGTTGATGCCGGCAGCCCTAAGACGGCCAAAGATGGAGTGTTCTCCACGGCAGATACTCCGATACTGACATTGGAGAATCAAGCGAACACTGGTTCCGTCCTGGTCATTGACCTCGTTTTGGAAACCTGGCATCAGGGGAATAATAATGACTGCGCGCCAGTCCTCGCCCTTTTCGTGCGCACGGATAGCGCGCTCCACCAGAGCATCGCCGATATGATTGACGATTTTCACGTTCAATGTTTCTGTGCTGGTCACGAAGAACTGGTTCTCCATGTAGACAAAGTGATCAGACTCTTCGATCATCTTGACATATGCTGACTGGATGCTGTGTTCGGTCTCATCGATACCGATCGACCACGTGGATGCTGAACGGAGCATTTGTACCTCACAAGTTCCATTCAGGCCGGCGGCCTCGAGTTCCTCTCTGCTGCAGTCAGGAGGTGGCAGCAAGAATGGTGTAGGCCTCGTTGGCTTCCGGCCACGTCTCACATAATTCCATCTCTGAACGAAGTGGCGGGTAAGATCTCTGGCTGGCTGGCCAACAACCTGCATGGCGATATCATGCCACGGCATTCTGGGAACCTTGGACCGGTCATACATCTCCTCATATGGCTCATGGAGCCTGACAAAGTCCTGGACACGAGGGTTCGAGTAATCCTTTCCTGGGAACATTTGACAATGCTCTGCATCCTTGGGTAAATTGTACGAATCAGGCTCGAATCCAGTGGGTTTGTCATCGGTCACTGGATGCTGGGGCGTGTCCCATCGGCCGAAACACAGATCGATGCCGCCCACAAATGCAATGTCGTGGTCGACGATGACCAGCTTTTCATGGTGAGCAAAAAAGAACTGGTTCTTCTTGAACTGATTAGGTGATCTTTGAACGAAAATGTTAGGATGGAGGTTCAGCAGGGAAAACTTGGTGTACTCCGAGTCAATGGGAACTGCGGCCTCGACATTTCGATAGACAATGACAAAAATCTTGACACCTTCCTGTGCCTTTCTCTGAAGTAGACGATCCAGACGCCATTTTTGACTGATACAAGCGGGCCGCCTCATGTACAATTCTGGGCTCAGCCACCAGTCGTGAATGTAGATAACGTCCTTGGCCATACTGATGGCTCTTGAGACGTTCCACATGTAGTCCCGACCGTCGACCAGCCATTGGGCGAACACGCCAGTTCGAACAGGCGCATAGCTTCCAAAGCGATTCCGCTGATGCCATGGTGTAGTTTTGAGCATCTCCAAAATGGACTCCTCGAACTGCTGTATCAGATGCTGGCTGGAGGAGAAGAGCTTGATCTTCCTCTCGGATGACACGATCTTGAGTGTATGGTGGTTGGAGGACTTGGACTTCTTGGCCGTGGTCGGGTCGAAATTCTCGAGGTCTTCCTCATTTTCATTACCGTTTGCTGTGAGGTGCTTGTTCTTGTCCTTCTTAGAAACAATGTTGAATTTGGGGTCAACCAGATAAACGTCGTAGATGTTCATGTTTTCCGGCGATTCGACACAGACGATATAACTTTGACGAACAAGGAACCACTTCTTGCTGTGCCTAGCAATAACCTTGCCGGGTGTCAGGACCCGCCGGAAATCGAGCCCTTTGGAGGATTGGATGTGGAGATAACATTCCTTGCCGTGATAACTTCCCTCGGCAGCAAGGCGAACTCCAAGAGCAGAAAGCTCCAAGAATCGACAAAGTCGGTTACTGTCTGCCCGGAACATGAGCCAACGAACCATCTCTTGCAGATACTTTTCCAGGATTCTCTGCTGCTGTTCGATATACTTTTTCTTCTTGGCGGCAGCGTCAAGAGCTATTTGATTCAGATCACCCTTTGAGCCTATGGCCGAGTTCTTGCGGCGCCCACCAAAAGCACCCATGCGAGACTTCTTTTTCCGTACCTGCGGCCTGCCATTTTCATCAACATCAGTGCCCTCAACAGCTGTTTCCCCGGCAGTGGCCTCGGCGGCGGGATCTTCGACTATACGAGGGGGGTCAAGTGGTTCTTGTTCCTCGTCGTCCTCCAAGCCTCTTACTGCGCGCAAATAAGGGAAAGCCGAGATGGGGAAGTTTGGCTGTTTGGGCCGAACACCGCCCTCTGGCCGATGTATCAACAGCTTGTCTTTAGGGGGGTTGATCTTGTATTTGAAGTGGAGGTTCATGATCTCCTTTATGTGACGTTTGACCGTCCACTTCATCTGGCTGGGACCGCTGCCGTACTCAAGCTCAATGGTAAATAGCACATGTCTCTCGCTATCCTTGCCGGGAAGAGGCGCACTGTCCTTGATTCGGAGTCTTAGCTGTTCAAGAAGGACGGGGATTCTTTTGTTTCCATGTTCATCGCGCTGGATCATGCTGGCAAACATCAAGACAGCCGGTGTAACTGCAGTAAGCTCGGCCATGAGCTCGGCAGATTTGAAATAGTCGTATTGGTCGTCTCTCTTCTGTCGCAACAGCCGCAATGTGCTCTTGACTTGACGCCATTTCTGAGCACCAAAAGTCGCAGCCCTGTCCGTGCCGAAAAAGGGTCTCCTCGGAGTGGCATCACCGTCAGACACCCCGCCGCCGAGGTTGGAGAAGCGCCGAAGATGCTGACCGATCCTACTGGGAGATTCGAGTTCGTCGCCCTCACCATCCGGCCGATTCGACATCCACAGATTCGTCCTTCTGTTGATGCGCTGTCTAGCAATATGATCCCTACCTTCACCCTCGGAAAGGCCTCCACGGTCTCCAATATCTGAGAACGTGGAACGGCGGATAAAGCCGAAGCGGGCATGCCCACCGGGGGTAGTCGGCTCTTGCTCGATTCGAGGCGTGTTGGGGGTCGAGAACGATTCGAACTTTGGTCGTCGAATCCGTCTCTTTTTCTTTTGTCGAATCTGTGACTCCCCCACCCTCTCATCGGCAGTTTCCTCTGCGTCGGCGTCTTCGTCGCTGCGGTCGTCAACTGACCGGGCTTGACGATGGCGTGACACGGTTGGGGAGCTAGCTGTAGAGTTAATCTCGGGAGGGTAGCTTGGAGACTTGAACGTCTGCGAGGTGCTGGGGCCGGCGAGCTCCTTCAACTTGGTCATGAAGCTGGACCCTCGAATCCTGTTCATGGTGTCTTTGGTGTCCCATGAGGCATGGCGCTCGTGGTGTATGACGGGTGGGGGTTCGAGAACGACATCGTTGTTGGCAAACTGTACGCTGCGCTCGGAGTAGGGCACATCGGAAGGGCCTGTGCCAGCTGTCGGAAGGGTCGAGGGCACGGAGGAGCGAGTAGTGGTTTCGTTGACATCTTGGAGCGGCAGCCAGGCGGGTGGGTCTTGATCGGGTACGGGGGAGACACCGTCGTTGTGTGGCTGGCCTCCGTTCAGGTAGTCCGAGGCGGACGGGCTTTCGTTAGCTCTCGGTGTCTTTGGAGAGCTCGCCTTAGTAGCGAAGTCGAACTGGTCGGAGCCGATGGGCGACGGAACGCCAAACACTTGGGCCTGGGTGATTGTCGGTAGTTCCTCGAGGGTTCCTGATTGCAGAACACTCTCTTTGCGCGACTGTGTTGGCACAGGCAGACTGGCCGAACTGGATCGGGTCGGGTCGGCCATGGCAGGAGATGGGCGGTTGACGGTTGGTCAGCCTACCGGGGGACTGGTGAAGTATGCTGTTGCTGTTGCTGTTGTTGTTCTTGGCCTTGATGCTGGGAGATGTGGACAGTATCTTGAAGGAAGAAGGGGTAGGATCCTCGGTAGCGAAACATGCCGCGGCTCACAAGTAACGGTAGAAATGGTCACGCTCGTGGGTTGAGTCTCCAGGGGCTCGAAGACGGCGGTCAACTTTTGAACAATCGGAATCGCTAATCGGAACGAGCCAACGACCGGGAGAAGAGTGGCAGAGTGGTTCCAATCGGGCCAACAAGGTCGGTGAAAGAAGATGGAGACGGTGGCGTGGCTACCTTGAACAGTATGAAGTACCTCCCAAGGTGAAGTTGGCAGATACAGTCGGTTTTAGGGGGAGGTCGAAGTAGAGAAACCAGAAGATGAGGTGACGTTGAAGCAAGGTGTAAACTGTTAGTACTACTCTACTAGTACACAGCGGGCATCCCCGTACAAGGAAAAGGTAGACGCAAAAAGGGGCAGGAGAGAGGTCAAACTTGGAAGTTGTTGTTTATTGGCCGTGCTCGTCTGTTACTGTTACCTGTATCGTCCGGTACGGTAATTGTCCGTTGTACCTGCGTAGTAAGGTCCAGTTGAATGAGTGAACCAAGAGCAATAGTTTTTTTTGTTTTTGATTCGGTCAACTACTCTCTCTACCTCAGGATTCTGTCTGATCTCTTGACCGTCACCTCTCTTCGTTCTACGTCAACGTTCCCCGTCATGTGGAGGGGTAAAACGTGCAAGACGCCTGCCTACGTGTGTCGGGTGCCCTGTTTGTCAAAGTGGTGAGACGAAGGATCCCGTCCCGTCACGTTGCAAGGTAGCGCAGGGCAATACTCCGCTACAGTAACCAAGTGGAAAGGCGCTGAGAGGCCCCCGTTGCACCTGGACTGCCCTGCTGGAAAATGGGGTTTTGTCATTTTAGGTTGAAGTGCCTGGACATGCAGGCATGGACGGCCCTTAACGAATTACAGAAGCTATACCCGACAGGGTTAGCAATAGATCCAGCCGACGGGAGCCAGCCACGAGATAGGTGGATGGAGAGGATGGATCATTGGATGTCTTAGGTGCCCCTCTCCGATCATGCTGCTAGCAGCTGATAGCGGGCGTCACTGTAGCCTTTGGAAGGTGATTTCCCTTGTAGCGTTCGCAGGGGCACGGCAGCTATGTAGGTTCCATCTCCTCCCGTTTCTGTCGCGTCGACGCGGGAATCTTAGCGTAGTAGGTAGCGGTGGGCAACGTGCTGCAATCGATGTGGGGAACTACCAGGCGTGCTCTGCTGACGTCCTTATGTTTACCGATGTTCCCTCCGCTTTTGTCTCAATTGCAACAATTTCCGCCTAGAGGTCTCGCGCCTCGTTAATGCCACCACCATGCCCAGGTACGCGTCCCTCAACCCAGCACCCAACATATCGTGACTAACAAGCAAACAGAGAAATAATAACCATCCAGGCCGGCCAGTGCGGCAACAGCAGTGAGTGCCCGATTCAACCCGACGAGGCAGTCGACCTTCACCCAGTCTTGCGCCTCGACATCCGGCAGCTGGACGCGCAGTTTCTTCTAACATTCTCAAGTCGGAAGCCAGTTCTGGCAGCAGCTTTGTCTAGAGCATGGCATCAGCCAAGACGGAACCATCGAGGACTTTGCGACCGAAGGCGGCGACCGTAAAGATGTCTTCTTTTACCAGAGCGACGATACGCGATACATTCCCCGGTCCATCCTGATCGATCTCGAACCCAGAGTCATCAATACCATCCAGACCGGACCATACCGGAACATATACAACCCAGAAAACTTCTACGTGGGCAAGAGCGGTCTTGGTGCGGGCAACAACTGGGGTGATGGTTACCAAACAGGCGAGCAAGTACATGAGGAGATCATGGAGATGATTGAGCGCGAAGCCGACGGCAGCGACTCCCTCGAGGGCTTCATGATGTTACACTCCATCGCCGGCGGCACAGGATCAGGCCTGGGCTCTTTCCTACTCGAGCGACTGAACGACCGCTTCCCCAAGAAGATCATCCAGACATATTCGGTATTTCCCGACACGACCAGCGCCGGCGATGTTGTCGTGCACCCCTACAACAGTTTACTTGCCATGAGGAGGTTAACGCAAAACGCCGACTCGGTAGTGGTGCTTGACAACGGCGCCTTGTCACACATTGCCGCCGACAGACTACACGTACAAGAGCCATCCTTCCAACAGACGAACCAGCTCGTATCGACCGTCATGTCCGCCAGCACAACCACCCTTCGATACCCCGGCTACATGCACAACGACCTGGTCAGCATTCTCGCGTCCTTGATTCCGACTCCTCGATGCCACTTCTTGATGACGTCGTACACGCCCTTCACTGGCGACCAGGTAGAGCAGGCAAAGACGGTGCGCAAAACGACGGTTCTCGACGTCATGAGACGATTGCTGCAGCCCAAGAATCGCATGGTGTCTACTGTACCCGGCAAGAAGAGCTGCTACATTTCCATCCTGAACGTCATCCAGGGCGACGTGGACCCAACCGATGTGCACAAGAGTCTGCTCCGTATTAGGGAACGTCGTCTTGCTACATTCATTCCCTGGGGTCCCGCTAGCATCCAGGTGGCACTGACCAAGAGGAGTCCCTACGTGACTATGGCACATCGTGTCAGTGGTTTGATGTTGGCAAACCATACTAGTATTGCTACGGTACGTCAACTGCTGCTGTGTTGGCTAGATAGATGACCAAACTGACATTTCTTCACACAGCTTTTCAAGCGTATTGTTCGGCAGTACGATGGTATGCGGAAGCGCAACGCCTTTATGGAAGCCTACAAAAAGACGGCGCCGTTTTCTGAAAACCTCAACGAGTTTGACGAAGCCAGGGAGGTCGTCATGGACCTTATTGCCGACTACGAGGCTGCCGAAGACGCCAATTATCTCAACCCCGAGCTTGGCGAAAACGCGTCGGCTGACACGGACAAGAGAATGGCTTGAGTCTTGGCCGGACAGATGATGGCCAGCTGGGGGCCTTTTGTTTTCGACCATACCTGGGATTTTTAAGAGATAGCTGGTATCCCTCTTTTTCTCTTCTTTTTTTTTTTTAAGTAGGCTGATGCGATATCACGACCAGATTGTTCTTCGCAGGCGTTATTGGGCGGGAGGGAAAACCAGGAGGAAGGTGTTGGCGCGCGTTTTCTGTATCGTTTGCCATGTTGTCGAGAGATTGCAGCAGCTCTTTGACCACTGAGGCTATGGAAATACCACTTGTCTTCAAACCCCAGAATGCATGCACGCGGGACCTCAGCTTGGGGTTCATAAAGGACCTCAAGTTGATAAGTATTCAACCAACTGACAAGTGGCTGCGCGGTCGAGCGGTGTGGTGCGCTGAGCTCTCTTTGCACATGGAGGGTAGTGTACCACATGCTGGGGGGGCCCTCGCCGCCGTAGGTGACCCAACGGGGGCCTAAATGGCGGGGGAGAACCTCCCTGGAAGCACTGTAAGCTGGCGTCTTCCGGCTACGCAAACAGGGCTCTTCTACTCCCTTCCAGTTGAACGTGACGTCAGCCGTTCGATTCCAGCTCTTGTCCTCTCTTTTTTTTTTCTTTTACTTTTTTTTTACTTTTTTTCCTTGGTGGTGTTTCATCATCAGTGGGTGCTGCGATCAATAGCATTATGGTCCTCTGTGGGAAGCTATATAGATGTAACAATGAAGCTATCACCACATCTTGGCACTCCTTAGCGTATTTAAACAAAACATTGAGACAGGGATGGCACTGCTTTTAGTCTCAATCAGGAAGCCAAGGACAGTGATAGGCGTGTCTCCCTGCCAACACTCCAGGGTGAGGATGACCTCATCAAGATTTGGCAAAATATATCAGATGCACTGCGCTCAATGCAGATTACCGCGAGAATTCGAGATGCACGGATTTAAAACGACATGGTCATCCAGCGCGGAAGGGCACGAGTAGGAGTTCTTCCCAGAAGCCCCTTGGACTTTCCTTGTTGCTCCAACTTCCCCAGAAAGAGAAATCATGCTGTGACCAATGGAAAGCGAGCTTTTCTCAATCCTCAAAACCCCCAGCCTTATTCCGACGCCACAAAGTGGATCACTTTATGGAGGCAAATGCTCGGGATAACTTGGCTAAGCCGCAGCATCACTGTAACTAACTGAAGTCCCGTCGCTGAGGGGAGTCGGAGGCTCGCTGTGTAACCGCAGAGTGGGACGGACGACGTCGATACTTACTTACTATCATTCGAGCCCCGTTCCGGACCCTCTTCGCTCTCGCTCCTTTCCCCAGGTACCTAGACCTCGCTCCTATTGCGACAATTGATATTTCCAACATGTTGTCCTCTGTGAGGACAGGCGCCTCAATGGCTGTTAGAGGTGGGTGATGCCTGTGTTTTGTTTTCTGTATGCGACGGAGACTCAGCGCGCGAGTCATTCGACAGCTCCATCACGAAATCCCCACGGCGACGAACTCCAGCTGACGATAAACCAACTATCCACAGCCCGGCCGACTGCCCAAATCGTCCCCTTCCGCGCGGCCGCTGTCGCTTCCATCTCCTCGTCCTCCCGCAAGGACGCCACGGGTGCCGTCGCCCCCGCGGGCGCACAGCACGGCATCGCCAGGCGCGAGCGCAGAGAGGTTCCTCTTCCCAGCCAGGAGGGCACCAAGGGCGCCGTTCAATATGCTCTGTACGTTACACGTTCCGAGGGCTCCACGAACTCCACATCCGCTCTTGACATCCGGACAAGGATATATCCCCTATGCCCTCTCCACAACAACACAGCAACAAGGACATGCCACTAACACACACTCAAATATAGCACAACCCTCGACAGCATCGTCAACTGGGCCCGCCAATCCTCTCTCTGGCCCATGACCTTCGGCCTCGCCTGCTGTGCCGTCGAGATGATGCACCTCTCAACCCCGCGGTACGATCAAGATCGTTTGGGCATCATCTTCCGTGCCTCGCCCCGCCAGTCGGACGTCATGATTGTGGCGGGCACCCTGACCAACAAGATGGCGCCCGCCCTGCGCCAGGTGTACGACCAGATGCCCGATCCGCGTTGGGTCATCAGCATGGGCTCGTGCGCCAACGGCGGCGGCTACTACCACTACTCGTACAGCGTCGTGCGCGGCTGCGACCGGATTGTCCCTGTTGATATCTACGTCCCGGGGTGCCCGCCTACTAGTGAAGCGCTCATGTATGGCATTTTCCAGTTGCAGAGGAAGATGCGGAATACGAAGATTACGAGGATGTGGTATCGCAAGTAGAGAGCGTTACTACTGCTTGGCACCTGCTTGTCGTGGTCATGGGGGGTTACGAAGTTTGGGATGAGTGGTGGCGCGAAGAAGGGGTCGACGAATTGAGAAGATTGAGTGGTGGTAAAAACCGGAAAGACAGCACGGTTAGATTTGATGGACGGACGGAAGAGCTCAAGAACAGCGGCTCACAAGAAGGACCTTCAGTGGAAATTAGACAAGATGTATTACGCTCAAAGTCTGCGTCTTGCTTTTTCTCCTTTATCCGTTTAAAGCTCATCATGAGCTGGACAGGTGTCGACCAGTTGTACTTTGTTTTGCTCTGGGACGTGTGACTGTGTACTTTTTGGTGTATATACTCGACTCGATTGGCAAGTCTGACGAGGGCGAGAAAACGACCCATCGCTCGACTGTAAAGTTCTCATGAGAGACTCAAGTAGCCAATCCTTGCTATGAAAACAAGGAGAGATTTTCGTGACATATATGTCCTTGGCCCTCGCCAACCAAGTCATCGTAGTCGAGGGGGGACTGTGAATGGTCTGTCGTATATGGGTATATATTTACATCTCCGGACCGTCTTCGAGAAGTCACGGGCTCACGAGATGTTCCCCAGAACTAGGGCATCTATGTGATGACGCCTTCTTCAATCTTGGGTACATGCTCATGAATCCAAAAGTGGACAAACTAAATCAAAAAGCCAGTGGTGGATAGTACGGGTGGACGCGGATGATAGATGTAGAATGATACCAAACATGGTCTGGACAGTTCGTCTGGCACTATGTCTTATTAGGCGGACGAAGAAGACGGTTTCAAACAGAATAGGAGCTAGTCTACAACATGCTTGATTGTCTCTTCATGGTCTCTTCGGCCTCTGCTTATCCCCTTCCCACTTCTTTATTCACTCATCTCTTCACTTCTCCTTAATCAACCAAGACCCAAGGAACCGGGGTGAAGATAACCTTGAACGAGGCAAAGGGGATTTGTTTTAACTAAAAAATCTTAATTCTTAATTATTTTTTTTTTTTTTTTTTTTTTTTTTTTTTTCCCTCAATGAACGGCAAGCTGGTGGTAGGGGTAGGTTATCCCAAATACTAACAAGATGTAATGAAACTGGAGAGTTACCAATTTGGCCGAGGATGGACAGCTAGACTGATTATGCATTTTTCACTTTGCAGACCGGTGGAGGTGGAGGTAGGTGCCAAGTTATGAGTCGCTATGATCTGGACTGAATTGGAGGAAAGATCACACGAAGAATGTTGACGGATAACAGAAGGAAAGCATGAGGGGAAACAGAGCAATGAGGTTGGAGAGGGCCAGGATCAGTTGTTGTACTGTCTCCAGGATATTAGGCACACAAGAATTATCTTCGACAATGTTGAACGGGAACAGTTGAGCATTGTATACCGGCTGACGGCCGATGAAAAACAAACTCATGCATGGTTTTTGAACTCCCAATTATGTACCTATTCCATACAAAAGAAAATGACCTTTACAGATCGCCCTTAGCCAAGACTGCCCACCCGTCCAACCCATCAGGGTATCATCCATCTTCTTCCTACATCTATCCCTCATCTAACAACCCGATCTTTAAAGCTTGAAGGCACCACTCGACGTAGGACCCTTCTGCTCCGCGATCTTCTTGCCATCCAACCCAACCGTCTCACCCTTCCGGTTAATAACCTTGACACCGCCCTTCTTGAGCTGGCTCATCGTCTCCTTGCGTTCCTGGGCACCCTTGCTGATGTTCTTGTTCGCATCCAGGCCGCCAGCCTTGCGGATGCGCTCCTTCTCGCGTCTGCGTCTCCTAGCCTTCTCCTCGCGGCTCATCTCCTCCTTGGCAATCGGCAGGCCGCTCTTGGCCACGACCTCGCCCTTCTCGACTGAGTCCTTGCCGGGGGCGTATACCTCCTGGGGCGCGAGCGTGCTCTCGCCACCCGACACACCCTGGGCCGTGGTGGGCATGGCGTCCTCCATGGCGACGGTGGCGACGTCGGTGACAACGCTGATGGTGGGTGCGGCGGGTTTAGGCTTGTAGTGCCAGCTGCTGAGGGCGTCGAGCTTGGCGCAAATGTCCTTCCACATGTTCTTGATCTCGGCCTCGTCGCGCGTGAGCTTCTCGTCCGAAGCGCTGACGTACTCGTCCGGGTTGGCCTTCTTGATGTGCTCCTCCTCGTAAATCTCGGCGAGAGACTGCTTGCCCTTGGTGTCGTCGATCTCAACGAGACCGCGGCGCGCGTTGTTGGGGTTATTGAGGGTGTCAGGACGTCTCCTGAGAACCTCGTCGAACTCGTTGGCAAGAATGCGGCGTTTGATGAGCGCCTCGATCGTCTCGGAAACCTCCTCGGTAATGACGGGGACAGGCTTTCCAACATGCTCAAACTCGAGGTCTTCCTCCAGGAGCGAGTTCATGGGACGAGCTTGCGCGGAAGCCTCACCGGATAGAGTCCAGGCGCGCTTGGCAACTAGCTCAGACTCGAGCCTGCGGATCTCCTCGGCAATCTTGGCTTGTCTGCGCTCGTGGGCGGACCGACGAGATCTCGGATCACCAGCATCAAGATCCGAGAGCTTATCCTCATCTTCATTCTCCGAGATGTCGTCGAAGAGATCGCGGCGCACATCATTCTCGGCTCTCTCCATATCGGCCTCATCTAGCTGCTCAAGTTTCTTGGGGAAATAGCCTCCTTTCCTTTGGTTGCCGGTCTTCTTCTTTTGAGGTGGCGCGAAGAAGTCCTTGTAGTAAATGTCGTTGGCGGTAAGGTCCATGTCCATACCGAGAACACCATCTGTCAGGCCGAGATCGTCGCCATCGTCCTCGAGCTGCTCCACGTTCTTCTTGCCCTTGAGTTTCTTGGCGTGGGCGGCGGCAGCAGCCTCGAGAGCCTCGTCGTCTTCGGATTCATCGCCCATGTCGACGTCGTCCTCATCCTGGTCTTCGTCCTTCTTCTTGTCGCTCTTGCCCTTCTTTGATTTTGGCTTTGTCGCGAAAGGATCGGCGTGCCAGTCTAGCTGTTCGTCGTCGCTGTCGGCATCGACGTTGGGGTCCGCGCGGGCATCCGCGTCCTCCCACAACTGTGTCTGCCTGTTGAAGTCGTCTATTGAGAAGAAGCCGTCGTTGAGGCCGTTGGGGTCCTCGACAAGTTCTGGCGCATCCTCCTCCTCCTCCTCCTCCTCTTCTTCTTCTTCCTCCTCCTCCTCATCAAACTCTCCTTCTCCGTCTGCGTCCGAGAATTCAACCTCTTCGCCATCGATCTCGACTTCTTCATCGTCGTCAATCTCGCTGCCCTCTTCTCCTTCTAATTCTTCTTCATCATCATCCTCCACCTCCTCTTCTCCTTCAGAGCCAGAACCTGATTCGCTATCAGCATCCTCCTCGTCGTCGTCCTCCTCCTCATCAGAACCAAGCTCAAACCCATCCTCTCCAAACTCAATGGTCTTCTCTTGTTCCTCACCGGTGCCCACAATCCCGTTCTCCTCCAGCTCCTTCAGCACATCGCCAGCCTCCTTTGTGGCGCTGGCAATTATTTTCTTGGCCTGCTGCCAAATCTGCTCCGTCTCGAAGCCGTCGTCGACGTGCAGCTTGCGAATCTTGAGCACGGCATTCTTGTCATAGCCAGCCTCACGCTTGCGCTTCTTTCCACCGATGGTGGCCGCGATCTCCTTCAGCTTTGCCTGCTGGTGGTCACTGACCTGGGAGGCGAGCGCGTCGAGGGTCTCCTTGGCGAGCAGGAGGGATCCGGCGGGAAGGGTCGAGGGCGGCTGCAGGAAGACGTGGCGGTTGGACTCGTCGGCCAGGGCCGAGAGGAAGGAGGCGACGACGGGGTTGTTGGCAATTGTCGACGAAGAGGTGCTGCCGCTCGACGATGCGGCGAGGGTAGCGGCCATGACGCTGTTGTGTGTGGAGGGGTCGTGGGTGATTGTTTGGGATGTCGAGGTTACGGAAGAGGTTATGCTGCCAGCTGCCATGTCTGTTTTTTTGGGTAGGGTTGGACTGATGCTGTGAGAAGATCAATCAAGGCTAGGGTATCGAGGCTGGCCTTGTCATACAAGTGTCTGACTTGAGGGTTCAATATGGACGCTTGACTAAGAAATGGCAGGGCGTCGGTGTTTGCCGTTGCCCGTACCAAAACAAAAAAGTTCAACCTGCCTGGCGATGTTTGGTTGCCAGCCGGCGATATTGATGGACCAAAATTTTTTCTGCCATAGCGCTCTCCAAGGTCCAGGAAACGGCGAAGCGTGGAGGCAGGCGTCCCCGCACCAGCTTGTGGGGCTGGTTGTGAATTGACCAATGGTGGGTGATTCTGCGCTCTGGAAATGGAAGTAGGTCCCACTTCTCTTGCTGTTAAGCTTCAGGGCGGTGCACCGCTATAAGACGAGGTTGCCTTAACACTTATAATCGGATGACAAAGTCAAGTAAACAAAGCGCAAGCAGTCCGTCTCAAACGATACATCAAGCTTGAGAGAGGGGATGAGTTCACAATCACCTTTTTCAGTACAGCATACGCTAGCGAGTTACTCTGAAGTTACTGGAAACTCAGTAACAATAACGAAACGATCTCCACGCCAGAGCTGTTGGATAAAGTCGCCGTTTCGACACAGGTACCTGGCTTGTTATCAGCATTTCCTTATCTGATATTCCAGACTAGGTACCCTATCATTCAATCCCATCAGCTGGTGGTCTCTTCAGTTGTATTATTCGCCGCTTCACTTTTGGATAACTGCAAGTGAGGCCTCAAGTATCAAAAGGTAACCAACATTGTCCTAAAATTGTAATTGGTTGAATCAACGATAACCCCCCCTTTTGAGGAAGAGCGCTGGGTTTGCCTCATCTCTATATACTTACAGCAGCTGGGCGGGTCAAAAGTCTGGGTAAGGTGTTAGTGCCTTTCGCGGGCGCTCCCCACGTAAAATCCTGTACGCACTACCCAAATCATAACGCACGGACTAAAAACCCCCTTTTCACCCGCAAATAAATTGTTAGTACTATCTGAGTTTCGCGCTTTTCCTGTTAGTGCATTCCCACACAGCCCTTTTTCGCGCTTTCGTGTACTTTTCGTGTAAATACTCCTAAGGGGGGGTCCCGGGGGGCGCAGCCCCCTGGTATTAACTTCTAAAGTATACGAATTATTGAGAAAGAAACGGCCAGCCTGAAATCTAATTATATAGAGGTATTGGCGGGTTATAACCCAAAATCCAGCTCTGTACGTAACAACCCAGAATCCAGCCTTGCACCCATACGGAAGGGCGCGGCGTGCCGCCCCGAACACTAGTACTAGCTACATTACTATATGCTTCTCATGTTCTTTGCAACATCGAACTGAGCAACGGACGTTGACAGACTCTTTTATGTAGAGGTAGGCTACATACCCAGCCGGCTCTTCTTCATGGTCTGGACCACGTGCAGAGAAAGCTCATGTTATATAGCAGAAACGTAAGGGTGTTATACGCGCACCTTTGAGGAAAGATACTGCAAGTCATAACACTTGTTGAAGTTCCGTCACAAGCCACATCCCTATGTATATGGTATCGCCTGTGAGAACTTTGACGAACCTTGAGGTATTCTTTCGAAATACGATGGCAGCGTTGACGTGCTACATTAGGGTCTGGACCGTCTAAGCCTTCATTGAATGCAACTCGCGCCAGAATCATGACATTTCCCCTCGTTGATTTTACTTATTTTCTTCGTCTTCATGGTCATTCATGGTCCCCAGCAAGCGTCTACAGCCTTAGAAACTCTTAGGTGTCTTGCCAATAATATGCCGTTGACATCATGTTCTGGAGTCCATGTTTTTTCTTTTTGTCCTGGACGAGCCAGTTACGCAACCATGTAATGGATGTGTATGGGGAACCTGGTGGAAGACGATCAATCGTTGTTACCCTGGAGGTGGTTTTGGCGTGGTTTGGACCAATAGCAGCGCCATAATCAGTGGTTCTCTCCCTCGTCTGAAGACGTTGGACGGCTCGCGCTAACAAACTGTTGAGCATGAATTTGTAGATCAATAATAAACGAGTTGGTGATAGACTCATCCTCGACAAACGCTCGCTTGTGGATAAGGTAAACACACAGAGACAACACTTGGTCGCGTGCCTTTTACCCGAACAAAGAAGGGAAGAGATTGAAGGTCTAACCGTTCCCGAGGGTAGCTTCCCGGACAACGAGACGGGCAGCCCCAAGCACGTGCCTGCTTACTGAATTATGACAGGGCCGATGAATCTAGACCAGGGTGGAACTATCAAGGAACAGTACCAATCAAAAACCACATTCCGGGACGGTACAGACGGGAGACCAGGAACTGAAGCAAGTTCCTGAAGATAACCAACTAAAGGGAAACCTCATTGACGGACATGGTTGCAGACGATGGACACCAAAAACTCGGTTGGTTCCATCTCCACTTCTGCTACGTCGTATGTAGTGTAAAGAGCCCACAGGAAACCTCGAGGTTCCACCAAAGACTTTTCTGCCCTGGAGGGGAGGGACCCGGCTGCATTGGGTCCTGGCGGAAAGACCCACTGAGAAAGCTCGAGGGGAAGGTGGTTCCTCTCGTTCGCATTGGATGGACAGGACCTTCTTGATTTTGATTCCTTGGCTTTCTCAAAAAGCCTGGGACTCCGGCAGCTTACTTATCTTGTCTCTCTGCTTGTCTCAGATTTGATGGCTGTTCAGATTCAGTTCGGCTCGGCCTGTCGTCACATACACTACACTTCGTTTCTTCCTTTCTTCTCTGCCATCTTCGTCTTTGTCTCCTTTCACTTTTCTCCCCGCCAGTTCCTTGCAGCCTTCGTTCGACGTTCACACTAAAGACTAAGCGCAACTGACGGCAGTCAACCGTTGGTCAGCCATTCTAGACCACTCTAGCAACTAAGTCTAGCGACGCTCCGTCTCCAGCCATCCGAAACGAATCTGAAGTGTTTGTGTTGATCGCTCGGTTGAAACTTCACCGTCTTCTCCAAGCCCACACGGCCCCCCGGTCGTCCTTATCACGACCTCAAACAGTCAACACCCTGGGCTGTCCAGTCCCCATTCCCCCGGACCGTCTCCGCCAGCGATCAAAGCTTTTATCCCACACTTTCGTCATAGCCACAGTGCCGTTGGTGCAAGAGACGCCGGTGCGGGTTCCCGACAGACAGTTGTACACTACCTCTCTTATCGGTGCATATAACCGCTTGCCTCCCTCCAACAATATCGTCATTACAGATTCATTCCGGCCTTTTTTGCACTGCCTTTGGCGTCGACTTGAATCAAAACAAAGGCACAAAGAAGAAGCAGGTTTTTAAGCGATACAGACCATCAAAGTCCCAGCAGACCGGTTTATTTCGTACTTTGACGCCACCGGGTGTAACCACTCCCAAGACGGGATTCGACGACGTTGTGAAAGGACATTTCTTGCAATACGTGCCTTACAAGTGCCAATCTCTACACCCGTGCAACCACCACTACAGCCCACCACATCTACCAGGAATGAAGTTTGGGGAGCAGTTTGACAGGGAGTCTGTCCCCCAATGGCGAATCCGTATGTCTTTCCCCGTCTTGTTCCGCCGGTTTTGCTGATGACTGTGCCACATCTCACCAACGAATGCCTGCTGATCTTTACCTTAACCGAGCAGATAACATCGACTACAACTCGCTAAAACACTACATCAAGGCGCACACCACCAGGTCTCAGGGAACCGCGATTGCCATTCCAGGCCACCAAGCCGCCGCACTCTCAAAGTTTGAAGACGACCTCTACGACGAGCTTTGCCGACAACATGATCGTGTCGACCTGTTTGTATCAAGCAAAGCGGACGAAATAGCGCGCCGTCTTCGTATGTTTACCTCGTCTCACTGCCACTCTGTTCTCCCAACTCCGGCCGCGAATTACTAACATCTTGACACACGTCGCCAGAACACTTGTCCAATCAAATACACGCCCATATTGTCCGATGCGCTGCCTCTACGAGAACGCGCACTTCGACCAAAAGACAGCGCCAATTTGCAAGATACGAACAAGAATTGCTACAATGCGGTGACGAGATCCAGGCCCTCCAACGCTTTGTCAATGCGCACACCGTTGCCTTTCGCAAGATTCTAAAGAAGTACCGGAAATGGACGGGCTCGGCGACTCTCGGCTCGCGGTTCAGGGAAACCATCCTGGCGAACCCCAAAAGCTTCACCAAGCGTGACTTCTCCCGGCTTCAATCACAATACGAAAACCTGCTACAGACGATACGCTCTGCCTCGCCGAGAGATTCGAGTCGCAGTGGCAGCTCCTCACCACCTACCCAGCCCGCCACGCCCACCCGCCCGACCGGCGCTGGGGAACAACGACTTGTGCCGAACGTGACCATTGTTCCTGAGGATGATGCCCCGACAGGATATTGGAACGAATATGACCACGGCAGCGAAGCCGGCGACGACCGTTGCGGTGAATATGCCATCTATATCAACCCGGATGAAGAGATGAAATTCCCTGGTGTAAGCAGCATAATGAACTGGATCTCGTCGCCAATGAAGAAAATTATGGGGCGTGGCCAGGAATCAACACCAGACCAACGCGCAAACGAAAGTACAGAACAGCAGCCTCTACTAGGATCCTCGCAAACCCAGTCGACCGACCGGTACGGCGCTACCCTCGCGCCGCCCAGCTATTTTACATACCCTCCTGGCGTTGCCCCCATCGACACCGACATCGACGATGACAACGTCAGCGATCGCTTCACAAACTCGCCTCCACACAGCTTCAGCCGTGGTCGTTGGCGCGCCGAGAGAAGAGGCTCTTACGGCTATGCGTCTTCTGAGGAGTTCCCGGAGTCGGGTTACCGAAGCCTAGAACAACAACGCATTGCACGCCATCGTGACGAAACGTTGTTTTGGGGCACTTGGGGCTGCTACCTGGTCACGTTTGTGCTGATGGGTATTGCGACAATGTTGATCATGACGGGCCGCCACAAGATGAGAATGGAGGTAGATGCTGGCGTGACAGTTGGGATCGTCACCTCGCTGGGCACGGCAGTCGCTGCGTTGTGCTTGTGGAATTCGAGGCACGAGTTTCAAGCACCTTCAATGATAGGAGAGATCGCGGTGTGGGTGACATTTGTAGTGGCGTGCGTCGGCAATGCGATATTGTTGGTCTTGATGGTGGGAAAGGCGCCCTGATGGCTGCCAATGCTTATGCGATCATGCAGGTGAGAGTATGTTGCCCATGCCAAGGGCCAAGGGGATACGGGAGCCTTGAAGTTCTTGACAACCGATATACAGCAACTCATGTGTTGCACATAGCTTTGTTCAAAGGCCTTGAATAGCTCAAAGGACAACATTGAATAGACAGACAGCGGATCGGGGCTACCAGACCCACAACGTCATCTAGCAGATAGATCATTTTGATGACTGATCCAAAAACAGACAGTACTATACATTCACCTATGACCGCGACTTTCTGATTGAATGGCATTGCCGCCTCATCCTGGATCTATATATAAAATATCCACTCAGGATTTCTGATCATGCTTCCCAAGTTCGGATTTCGTCTGTCAATGTTTAATTATTTGACCGAGAGACCTTGCGGGGAAAGGAAAGGTGCAAGTGTGAATCACCTATTCTCCTCGGTAATTCACCCCATGTCCGACCCATACCAAACATCCCAATCAGGAAATCGTTCAGTAGTACAACAATTTTCGAAGTTTTCGAGAAAGTCGCAAGTCACTCAACATAGCCACCGGAAAGCGATCGGCTGTTGTCGTATATAAGAGTGACCCTTCTCCACTTTGAGTTGTGGTGTAAGTACAACCTCCGCGGAGAACCTCATCGCCGAGTTGGAGTATTTATAATAAGCATACCGTCACCCCGCACCTCACCTCACTTGAAGCTCTGTTCCACGATCCTTCACCAACAATAACAACAACACCAAAGACACTTGAAATCAGAATCAACAAGATATACCAATAAACATGCACTTCCCAGGCCACAGCAGCAAGGAGGAATCCGCCCAAGCGGCCCTCACGAAGCTGAACTCCTGGTTCCCCACCACCAAGAACCCCGTCATCATCAGCGCCCCCATGTATCTCATCGCCAACGGCACTCTTGCGGCCGAGGTATCCAAGGCCGGCGGTATTGGTTCGTCTCCCCTTCTCTTATTACCACTCACCCATCTCATCTACACCCCCCAGCACTAACACCACCGCGCAACCTTTTCCAGGCTTTGTCGCCGGCGGCTCCGACTTCCGCCCCGGCTCCTCCCACCTAACCGCCCTCTCCACCGAACTTGCCTCCGTCCGCAGCCGCCTCGGTCTTACCGACCGCCCCCTCACCCCTCTCCCCGGCATTGGCGTCGGCCTCATCCTAACCCACACCATCTCCGTCCCCTACGTAACCGACACCGTCCTGCCCATCCTGATCGAACACTCCCCGCAAGCAGTCTGGCTCTTCGCCAACGACCCGGATTTCGAGTCCTCTTCCGAGCCAGGCGCAAAGGGAACAGCAAAGCAAATCATCGAGGCTCTTCACGCTTCGGGGTTCGTGTTATTCTTTCAGGTGGGCACGGTGAAAGATGCAAGGAAGGCGGTGGCAGATGGGGCAGATGTGATTGTTGCGCAAGGGATCGATGCGGGAGGGCATCAGCTTGCTACAGGGAGTGGGATTGTGAGTTTGGTACCAGAGGTTAGGGATATGCTTGATAGAGAGTTCAAGGAACGAGAGGTGGTGGTTGTGGCGGCGGGAGGTGTGGCGGATGGGAGGGGGGTTGTAGGGGCGCTGGGTCTAGGTGAGTTTTCTTTCTGTGTTCTCTCTGGGGAAGTGAAGTGAAATGGATGAGGACAAGTGGTGCGTGAATGTGAGGAGGTGGGTAAAGATGTGCTAACTACCTGGTTAAATTGATTAATAGGCGCCGAGGGTGTGGTATTGGGTACTAGGGTAAGTTCTTCACCAGATACCACCACCAACCAACCCTTTTTTTTTTTTCCCTCCTCCTTCTGGATGGGAAAATAAGTACTGACAAGCATCCCTTTCAGTTCACCGTAGCAGTCGAAGCTTCCACCCCCGAGTTCCGCAGGAAGGTCATCCTCGAGACAAACGATGGTGGTCTCAACACCGTCAAGTTAGTCATACCCTTTTAACCCTGAACTGCACACCAGCAGCCGACTGACAACCAAATTACAGATCCCATTTCCACGACCAAATCAACAGCAACACAATCTGGCACAACGTCTACGACGGGCGAGCGGTTCGCAATGCCTCTTACGACGACCACGCGGCCGGTGTCCCCTTTGAAGAGAATCACCAGAAGTTCAAGGAGGCAGCGAGCTCTGGGGATAACTCGCGGGCTGTGACTTGGTCGTATGTTTTTTTCTCTCTTCTTTCCTTTATCTTGCAAAAAGGCTGTTGATGCTGTTTGCTAACTGGTATGTCTATGTGCAGCGGGACTGCTGTGGGTCTGATAAAGGACCAGAAGCCGGCTGGCGATATTGTTAGGGAGTTGAGGGAAGAGGCCAAAGAGAGGATCAAGAAGATTCAGGCTTTTGCTGCTTAAAAAGGGGGGGGGGGGGGGGGGGGGGGGCCTAAGGGGTGCCGCGTGTAATGATGGGTGATTGAAAACGCATGGGTCAATATCGTAACTACAGATCGCAAGCGAGTTTGGTCTTCGGTTCCTTGGTGATCTTTGACTGTGTTCTGCCTCTTTATTGCTCTTCGTCGTAATAGGCACGAGGGATAGGAAGCTAAACCATGATAATTCGAAATAACATAAGGAAAGAAGTTATTGATTTCTTGTCGAAACGGTCGGGACGGTGATAACAGAAAGTGGAGGGACGCTGACATACTCTCTTTGGACAGATCTTGTCTAATTCGACAAAGAACCAAAACACGTTCTAGTTCACACGACCCTTGTATCTCTTGTCGTGTATACCATCGTTGTACGTCATCCAGTCATAGCACCCATCATACATAACATCATCCATGTTTGCAACATTACCTTTGCTGTTTACTCTCACCTTCACAGTTTCTTCACAACTCCTTCACAAACCCTCCCTCACCCCCTCCGCCCCATTATTCACTACCTTCTTCGCCACCTTCTCCTCCCGATCATACACTTTCCTACCACCAACCCACGTTTCCCTAACCTTAATCTTCCTCAATCCCTCCCCGTTGTCCCTAGCGGCCAACACTTCCAACGGCTCATCAAGCACCACCCAATCCGCAAATGCGCCCTCTTCAATAACACCCGTCTTCCCCTCTGTAAACATCCCGCCCGCCACCCCCTTGGTAAAGCCTGCAAGCGCCTCCTCAAGACTCAGTGCTTCATCAGTATACCAACCCTTATCGCCACCATCAGCTCCCTTGCCCGTGTGCGGGTTCTTCCTCGTTACGGCCGCGTACATGCCCTCAAACGGGTTGGGCGGCTCAACGGGGAAGTCGGACCCCAAAACAGGCTGGACTCCCAGTTCGTGAATCAAGCTGCGCATACGGTAAGCTTCGGTGGCGGTGCGCTCGGGGCCCAAGCGTAACTCGGCGTAGGCCATGTCCGAGGTGGCGTGCGTGGGCTGGATGGAGGGGATGATGCCTAGATCACGGATGCGGGCCTGGTCGGTGGGGTGGATGATTTGTGAGTGTTCGATGCGGAAGCGGTGGGAGGCTTGCTGGCAGTCCTTAAGTGTCTTTCCGTCGGAAAGATTGCAGGCGTCTTTGAGGGCGGCTTCGAGGGCGTCGATGGCGTACCGGTTGGCCAGGTCGCCGATGGCGTGGATGTTGACTTGGTACCCCGCGTTGGACCAGGAGCGGGCGAGAGACTCGAGGGTTGAGCCGTTGACGAGCAGGGAGCCACGAGTGGAAGGTTTGTCGGAGTAAGGATCGATCATGGCGCTGCCCCAGGATCCTAAGGCACCGTCGGCAAAGAGCTTGACGCTGCGGATGGTGAGCATACCGTCTTCGTGCTGGGTTCTGACAGAGTCGGCCTCGAGCGGGCAGAAGACATTGCGCTCGCCGCACTCAATCATGGCGTACACGCGGAGAGTCCACCAGTCTTCGTTCCGGCTGGCTTCATCATACACCTTCAGGTCGGTCGGCGTCACGCCGGCGTCGTTCATGCCGACCAAACCGACCTTGTGCAGCTCCTTCATGGCAGTTTTGAGGAAGGTCTTCTTGCGCTCTGCGTCGGGCTTGGGCCACAGTGAAGTGACGATGTCCATGGCGTTGTCGCAGAAGACTCCTAGGCCCGGTTCCCGAATGATCTCGCCACCGGGGACCTCCTCCGGGAGCGACTCGGCAGGAATAAGGTCCAAGATGGCTTGCGAGACCCAGGTACAATGCACGTCGACTCGGTCGAGCATGATGTATTTGCCCTTGAGAGCTGGGTCGGACTCGAGCATGGCCTGATGACTTGTTAGCAACCCTTTCGTTTATTTCTCTTCCGAAGCATAACAGATACTCACAGCACTAGGCATCTCCCCCAACACCATCTGATCCCAACCAACACCTCTCGCCCTATGATGTATCAAAGTCTGTCAGCCAGCCGTCCTCTCACTTTCCCTCCCGCGCAACACGCAGTACGTACACCCCTCCCCCATTATTCAATCCCTAATCTACTCACTCACTCACTCACTCACTCACTCACCCCTCTCAATAACTTACCAGTTTTCCTTACTCCCCACATCACTCCCCTCCCTTTCCCTCTCCTGCAAATACTCCTTAACTCTCTCCCTCACCATTTCCACACTGCTCGCTCCAAACAGATCCACCGAATGCAAAAACTCTCCATACTGAACTAGATGTCCATGGCCATCCCAAATGCCCGGGATAACATGTCCCGCTTTCGTCTCCACCACCATGTTGTTCCCCCCATCCTCATCGAAATAATCATTATCCCCCACAATCAAGACATCCTCCGCCGAGTGAAATACCTTTGTAAACCTGCCATCGGGGGAAACGGAGAAGCAGTCGGCTTCTCTAGAAGAGCCGGCGGAGGTGAGAACCGAGGTGTAGCAGTAGGTCTTTGCTGGGATGGCAGAGCCGGAGTTGCGGATGGTGTTGGGGCTGAAGAGGGAAGAGGAGGAGGCGGGGTGGTTGAGGTGGATGAGGAAGGCGATGGCTAAGGCGCCGAGCGAGAGGCGGGGAGCCCAGTAGAGGACTCCTGGGGAGCGGGGGGTTGGTGGCGCCATTTGCTCCTGGTGCTTTGGGGATTGTGACCACCTCGCGCTGTCTTTTTGCGGCGAGTGTTGGCAACGGAGAAGCTGATGTGATGAATAGAGGTGGTTCCCCTCAAATGAGCGTCGGAGTTACACAAAATGTGCCGAACAGATTTGTCAAAAGTTCGGAGAGACAAGAGGAATATTTGCCCCGATGTCACTGTCATGCATCCAGATTTCCCGTTTATCTGCCGTGCGATAATGCAGGAACCCCCACGCCGGTCGCGAATATTAACCGGACTGCCGGAGCCGCAACGTCTTCCGAAGTGCTCGGCCGGGTCTGACCGGGATCTCGATCCATCAAGTGAACTTCCAAGCAAGTCAAACGTCAAGGAGCGGATATGGTTGACAGAACCAAGACAACTTTAAGTATACAGCTAGGCTGCTCTGCAGTATCGACTGCTTAGTGTACATAGCGAGTACCGTTACGGTATCCCTACGGGATGACGCACATTGTATGGGTCCCTTAGTGGGACATTATATTATGTCTACAAGTATTACGCAGTAAACTTAGAACCCATCTCCTGGTTCCTGAATTGCAAACATAGACCACACGCCCTCGTCTTTGTCTCCAGGGTAATCGTTGTATGCACAAACTTGGCATTGCCTAATTCCATAACACCAACACACTTAAACGTATACCAGTAGCAGGATGCTGAAGCTCACTACTTGAAGGATCAATAACAAGCAAACAATCCATTTATATACAGCTCTTGTGCACCGGGGAGGGGCGAGGTAACAGTAGTAATCTCCGGTGCCAATGAACTTCGCACCAAACTGAAAAGAAACAAAAAGGGGTCGGAAAATAGATTGTTAAGAAAAAAAAAGCTGATGCTATCATAAATTCGACGCATGCCACCCAATACTCGTGTAGCAGTACCGTTCTTTCTTTCATGCAGCCATCGCAGCCATGCCACCGTGTCCCATATCACCATATTCGTCCCTCTGTCCATGATTAATCGCCCCTGGTTTTGTCCTTTTATTCTTGTCCGAAACCCATAGTCTCCTCCACAGCAATCGTAAGCTTTTGCTGCAGCATCTCCAGAGACTTGTACGGTGGCAGATCCAACCGGTTGAAACTGCACAAGAAAACAAAACCTGTTAGCGAAAGTCCTTACCACGTCTTCATCTCCGTATTCATACGTACCATGTATGCGCCTTGGGAAGATTCGTAATCTCTCCTGCCTTCTCAATCGTGAATCTACGAGGACCATCACTACCCTGGAGATCCTTGAATCCGTTGACTGGGATACGGGATGTGCCGGTCGTGAACTGGAGCAATCTCGACTTCTGCTCGCCATCCCACGACCGAACAGTCTGCCAGAAGAACTGGATTACCTCGTCTGACTCGGTATAACCACGGTAATCCGTGTGCTTCTTCCAGTCGTCGACATCGATCTCGGCAATACCACCAATCAACAGCTCAAGTTCGCGCTCATCAAACACGTTGATCAGATCCTGCGGGATAAGCTCGTGGAAGCCATCCTTGAACGCCCGGAACTGTTGCTCAATGCGCTTTTCGATCCTCCACTTCACCATCAATTCGACATACTCTTTCTTGTTCTCGTTCGTGACCGCAATGTTCCTACCATTAGGGATTAGATCCTCCTCGGTGATTACGCCGAACCGCTCGTCTTCAGTAGAGAAGGTCGCGTCAAGAACGTCGGTGATGTCGTTATCCAGCATCCACTGCAAAGACCGATGGAAATCGGCATCCACACCCTCCATATCCGCCAAGCTGACAGCCTTTCCGAGAACCATCTTGTACAGAGCGCCAATAAAGAAGGCATCCAGGAATCGCCTGTGGAAAATAGCCAGACCCACGACCCGGCCGATGAACTTGAAATAGTTGAGATGCTCAGGGTTGATACCCGAGTGGGGGTTGATCTGGAGGGTGTAGTTATCGTGGGCCGAATACTCGAACAAGCAGTAGAATGGATTGAACATTTCGTGAGAAAGGAGGAAGAAGAACTCGCGCGACAGACCGCCGTAATCGAGGCCGTCCTCGCCGTCGAACTTGATCATCAATCGTTTCTTCAGGTCGGTCGCCGATTGCCTCGAAATCTCCGCGAACGAATCCTCGAAAATGTGCGATCTTCTGACCTTAATGTGACACTGTCCGGACATGATCCGCATAGCAGGCTGCGAACGGAAATAGATGAGCTTCCTCCTGAAGTCTCTCTTGTACTGCGGTACGTTCTGGTCGAGCGACGAAGGCAGACGAGGATCATCCCAGGTCGTTGTCTTGGTATTGTGATCCACAAAGTAGACGCGAGCCGTGTTGGTGAGCCGCATCTCCCAACCACTAGGCAGGGGACCGAGCTGGGACACCGGCTGTTGTTGAATGGTCCCGTTCG